ACTGCAAGTCATGAATGTATGTCCGAAGGGTGGGCAAATCGGCACCGTTCTCCCAACCAGCTCCACAATGCCGCTCGGAGGCAGTCCTCTACTGCCGACGGCCAAGAAGCCTCCTCAAACTCACGAAGTGAGTCATCTGCCTGGTCCAGTGAACAAAGTGCGTCATCGCCGGAACCCCACGCATGTTGCCCACCGTCATTCGGGAGAACCCACTCGGACGGAATCTCGGAATCCCATCCCGCTTGCAACAGATACGCCATCACAGTAGACACTGGTCCTCGACTATGCCGAGGTCGCTGAACCTCTGGGATGCTCGTAAGTTGCGCCCCCACCTGCGACCATTTACGATAAGCCACTGGCCGAATCATGGGCTCCGTGCTTTATACTTGCATCCACTGGGATAGACACCCTCCGCAACAACACCAGTCCTGAATCGGTTGCTGCAGCTCGCTACCCGACAGGTGCCGCGACACATCTACCTCGCCGAGTTGCCCCTGGCGCCACCCCAAGACGCCCACGATGAATCACCATCGCACTGCCCAACTTGCCGCCCGCGCACATGGTGATCGCGCGTCGCCACCGCCCGTGGGCCCGCACGCTCAACTCGAGCCGTGACCCCGCAACGTCGCGATGCCTTGGCAAATCGCCTTAGCTTCGCGCGCTGTAGACCTGCTTTGACAGCTCGCTTGCGCACAGTAGTTCTTGCCGCTCGCAGGCCTCCACCCAAGTCAACTCCAAGGCATGCAGATTGCAGCTCCGCCTTCAGGGCGATCCCTAGCCTCTTGAGCGCCCGCGCGATCATCTTGGCGCTCTCGCGCGCGGAGCAGGTGGTCACACTCTTGCCAGCATTGCCCAAGGAGACTTTCCGAACTTCTGCCGTTGCACAGGTGATGCCCCCGATCAAGACAAAGCGAACGTGCCGCCTTGACCCAACAACACGCCGTGCCAGATCATCGACGTCGAGCGCCGCTTCGCACGCTGCGCACGTGGCGCGGGTTGAAAGCGAGAGGGGAAGACAGGAATTGCAACAGCACCCTGGCCGAAGCGCGCGCTAGATTTCCAAACACAGCACCACGCGCGGGAAGTTGAGTCGCAGCGCCGGCCCAGCCATGATGGCAGCCTTTCAAACAATGAATCGGCGCTTAGCCCTGCACGCGGCCTCATGCGCGCCAAGGCCTGCCGAACATCTTATAATGTGAGCGGAACCAGTTGTTCCATAACATACTGTTATCTCACCAGATGCATGGAATCGAACATTTGTTCATGCGATAACGTTGAAAAACCCAACAAATCATGTCACCCCTAATCTTTCCGATCCATGGTCTCGATAGGAAGCAGCGCACAATTTCCTTCAACACGGGGGTCATCGTGTGGATCTGGCCCCTGCTCGATGTTCTTGCGAATAACCTCCAAGGCCTTCTGCGCAGCGATCCACTCGTGGATCTCCTTCACATACTGACTGGTGGCTCGTGCTGGACCACGTGTCGAACCTCGACACTGGCCAACTTCCCTGGCGAATTCCAGCTCTTCCACTTGTGAGTGCCCCAAACGTCAGGTGCCGTTGAGCCAGTCCGACCAGGAACCTGCGCCAGCACAAAGAACGAGCCGACACCGCCGGGGACTGTCGATACCAGCTCCCGAGCGCCACCTGCCAATTACAAGATTCGAGAAATACCATTCCGTCGCAGCCTGTGGCGCTCTACTCCCTATATGGCTTTGCCCACCAAGAAGAGTGAACGTCGCGGAGAGGCTGATCCCGAACGTGATCGGCCCGGCGCACAGCTCCCTTTTCTAGCTCTGGTCCTCGAGCGCGAGAACAATTAGGCTCAGCAAGTCCGCGGTGCTCGTTCAAGCTCCGCTCCACAATTGAAGCCCAACCTGCAAACTTCCACCGGTGGCGAGGACGGGTGGCCCTCTAGCAGCGCAGGCAAGCGATTCGCGAAGCGCTGACCAGGCATCGTCGCACGCATGCGTTACCCAACCATTCTGATCAGAATGCTCGGGCCAAGTTGAGCACAGAACGGAAAGGAAGGGGACCCGCAGAGGCAAGAGCAGATGGAGTTGGAATATCGTCCGTGGCGACACGAATTTGATGGGTCAGGGCGGTGCCATCGTTGAATTGGTCTCATGCCCCCTCGAACAATCGCCTAATTTGGTACCCCCCCTTGCAAGATATGAGCTTCGAGAGAGAGACCGCACCTGCCGAAAAGCTCGAAGACTGCGCGTGGGACACACCGGTGTAAAGCAAGTTTCATCGGCCCAGGGGTCCTCGCACCCGCCCAGGAGCCCTAAGGCCGGAAAATAAAGAGCAGCCAAATCTTCTTCAGGCTCCCCAGGAAAGCCGAGCTCTGGGAGCGGAGACACTTCTACACGCACACGCGCACACACACGCACACACACACACACACGGATTACCCCCCCCCTCCAACGTTCGGATTGTTTTGAAGAAGACCGCTAACAAGAGACGCACGAGTCCGACGTTGCTGCTACCTGGATCGCACGTCTCTGCCGAGCCCCACCAGCTTTGGCGTCGGGCTGGGCAGGCTGAGACCGACGAGGCATCTGCAATAGACGAGGCACCATCCACATTCTGCGAGCTCCTCAGTCATCGGGATTGTCAAACAAAAGTGGGATGACCAGGGAACGCCCTGAAATGCGCCGACCTGCAGCATGCATGGCAGGCAAGCGCTACTGGCAACCACAAAGTCGACGTGCGAGTCCCACTGCCACCGACCTGCGTCCACTGAATAGGGGCCTTGATGATATGACCCTGAACCTGTCGAAGAAATTCCGAACGCCCAAACTCAACAACTCCAATCTCAAGGTCCCCACCACAAGCACCCAGGGCATTTCATCTGAAGTGGCCGTCAGAATGGCCCAAGACGAGCGCAACAAGTGACCGTCATACTTGCCCGAGACGAGCGCAACGTTCGCTACAGTGATATGAGACGGGTGCCCGTAGAACATGACGGCGAAGATGTTGAATCATTGCTCGTGAAGAACCAGTGCCATTGCCTGACCCGTCGGCGCACAGATGAGGATGTTCATTGGCACGTTCTACAAGCTGGTGGATGTTACGATGCCCGTGCGCCAGAACGAATTCATTTCCCTCGTCAGCTCGAGCCTGGCTCGCTGCCGTGGCGCCTCGTCCTGGCGACCTCGCATAGTTGTCAAGGACCTGTAGTTTGAGCTTCCGTGCTTTCTTGGCCCACGCGTTCCGAGTCAAGCTGCACACGTGTGATTCCAATACAACGCATGACAATTATGTGACCCGATCCGCACATGTGCGAAAATCCCAAGCCCGTTGACCAAATGTTGAAAGATTGGCAAAGAACAGCTTACCCACCCCCTCGTGTGGGTCGGTCTGGCACGCAGCGTCGGATGACGACGGCGACGTTCTCGGCGCCGTCACAACGTTTCCTCGCCATGCGTTCTTTCGTTGCTTGCTGAATCGCAAGCGCCTCATTTTTCCACTTGGTGGTCTCCTCGGACCGCTGAGCCAGCGCGCCCCGTGCACGCCGCGGCTTGGCCTCGAATTCGTTTGGGCTTCTCCCGCCCAGCCTGGTCGCATTCAAGCTGCTTCAACGCCTTGAAAACAGTCAAGGTCCCAGCGCGCAGCCCGATGATGTCATTGTTCTCCTGCGTCTGCTCACTGCCGCCCTTCGCTACCTGCGCGGAGCCTACCACGGCGTTCGCAAGCGCTTGTACAGCAAGCTTCTTCCTGACCTCCGCCTCAGCAAGGCATTTGGCCATGTCTTGTTCTTTGTTATTTGGCCTCCGACGTGCGTAGATTGTCGGGGCCACGGCCTGCTCGTGCTTGACGCTCGTGCACGCCCTTGCCATACTTTTTTCCGGCGTCCTCGGCCGAGAGAGGAGCTGAAGTTGACGTTTTCGGAGAATTCGCAACTCGCGCGACCTGTTCGGCCAACACCTTCTTGGCTACAGAATCCTCCGTGAACGTGAGAGCCTTGGCCGGCAGCCGCTCAGAGGCTCGCCCTCGTTGGATTGCGTCGGCGCCATGCTTTTCGCCAGATGTGTACCTCCGTGCTCCTGCGCAGCCTCAGATTTCGGCCTGAATATGTCCACAACGCGATGCAAGCGCTTACACTTGCATTCTCGGGACGGCAACACATCGTAGAATTCGTTGTTCCCACAGCCAGCGCATGTGGACCATGTCCGCGACGATGATGTAGTTCCCGTCATGGTACTTATCCTCAATTTCGCTGCGCCGAACGACTGGCGACGAGGCCAGGAGAGGAGGAGGAGAAGGAGGAGGAGGAGGAGAAGGAGGAGGAGGAGGAGCAGCAGGAGGAGAATCGAGGCTCTAGGTTTCTGGACACGTTCGGCTGTTTTTAACCCGAGCCCTCGGAGGCCGCCGTGCCCTGATCTTCCGCGCCCCTGCCCCGTTCTTCCATGACCCCGCAGGAAAAGGAGGAGAAGGAGGACGACGGCGATGAAGAAAGAAGAAGAAGAAGAAGATGAAGAGGAGGAGGAGGAGGAGGAGGAGGAGACCGACGATGGCTACTGCGACGGTGACGACGACATCGACGACGACAACAACGGCGATGACGGCGATGACGGCGACGGCGAGGGTGAGGGCGTGGGCGAGCGCGCGCGCGGGAGCGTGCGCGGGGGAGGATAAGGGAAGGGGTGCCAGCAAGAGGAGGGCGACGACGACGACGACGACGACGAGAAGGACGACGAGGACGAGGACGAGGGCGTCGAGGAAGAGAGCGCGTGCGCGGGAACGCGCGCGGGAACGCGCGCGGAAAAGGAGGAGGAGGAAGAGAGAGGGGGTGAGGGCCAGGAAGAAGAGGAGAACGAGTACGAGGAGGAGGGACCGTCGTCGTCGTCCTCCTCCTCGTCCTCGCTATCCTCGTCGGCTTGTCCTCGTCATCATCCACGTTCGGCGTCTTCGTCGTCCTCGTCCTCACGAGTCCTCGTTGCCGTCCTCGCCGGTGTCATTGTTGTCCTCGTTGCCGCCATCGTCGTCGCTATAGGCCGGGCTCATGGCCGGGGTCGCTTCGCGCTGCCGGGCGGCGACAACTACGAGGGCGAATTCGCGTTCGACCAGGCGAACGGCGAGGGCACCTGGAGGGGCACCGATGGCAGGCCCCTGGAGAGGAGCGAGGAGTGGAGAGTGCATGGTGTTCATCCACCTCCTCCTCCTCCTCCTCTCCTCCTCTCCTCTCCTCCTCCTCCTCCTCCTCCTCCTCCTCCTCCTCCTCCTCCTCCTCCTCCGCTTCCTGATCCTCATGAATATCATAGGACGCCCAATGTTGCAACGTCGTTTCAATCACCCCGAAGGGGTACGTCGTAACATGTACACTGCCGTTACATGTCCAAGCTCAGTTCTCAATTGTGGCGATTGTTTGCGGAGGATTTGGCGTCACTCCTCCTCACTCCCCTCCCCGCCCAGTGCGCGGGAGCGCGAGCGGTATGATGAGGTGGAGGATGAGGAGGTGGAGGATGAGGAGGAGGAGGAGGAGAGAGAGGAGGAGGAGGAGGAGGAGGAGGAGGAGGAGGAGTTCGCAAGAGGAGCACCGAGGAGGAATAGCGAGGAGGAGGAACGAGGAGGACTAAAGAGGAGGACCAAGGAGGAACACCGAGCAGGAGGAGGAGGAGGAGGAGGAGGAGCAGCAGGAGGAGGAGGAGACGCCTCCCCTACCCGTGCGGGGCGCGCCGGCTGGAGGGTGTTCACGGGCCAGTGGCTCAACGACACGCAGCACGGTGAGGGTACCGAGGTTGTCCGGGCGGGGGGGGGGCGGGCAGAGCTTTGTTGCAAGCAGGACCTCGAAGGGCGGGGGGCGCGGTCAGGGGTGCCCGCGGTTCGGTCGGTTCGGCTGCGCCGCGGTCGGTTGCGTTCGGTCGGTTCGGTTCGGTCGGCCGTGGCGTCGTTGCCCTGTGACTGCTTCCTTATCTCGACGCGCAGTTCCGACCTCGACGTTTCGCCCGCTCCAGCGCGGCGTTAACGACGATGTGGGCTGGCCTGGTGACTCTCGTCCCCCCCACCGCCCCAATTCGCCTGGCGAGGAGGGGGACGGAGGAGGACCAGGGTCGGCTACGCGTAAGAGTGACCCTTCGCTGGAGTGACCTTTTGGTGGGGGCCTACAGGGCTTCCCCGCGACGGTGGCGTTGGCGCTTGGACTTGGCCTCCCCGCGGCTCCCTAAAGCCACGCGCCAAAGGTCATTCTTGCCAGGGGTCACTCTTGTGTTGAGCCGATGGGGAAAGAGGAGGGCCGAGATGGTGGAGAGGAAAGTGGTGGTGGTGGAGGAGGCGGAGGAGGAGGAGGAGAAGGAGGAGGTGGAGGAGGAGGAGGAGGAGGAGGAGGAGAGAGAGAGAGAGAGAGAAAAAAAAAAAAAAGAGAGAGGAAGGAGCGCGGAGGAGGATCCAGGATTGAACAGGACAGAAGCGGGGGAGAAAGAGGAGGAGGTGAAGGAGATGGAGGATAGAAGAGGACGGAGGAGCAGAGTGGAGGAATAGGAGGAGGAGGAGGAGGAGGAGGACCGAGGACGGAGGACGGAGAATGGAGGACGGATGACGAGGTGGAGAAGGAGGAGGGGGGCAGAACAGGATGAGAACGGAGGGGGCGGAGGTGGAGGATGAACACGACCCATGAGGTGGACGGAAGATGCGGAGAAGGAGGAGGAGGAGGAGACGGAGGTGGAGGAGGGACAGGAGGAGGAGGAGGAGGAGGAGGGGGACGGGGTGGACGGTGCAAAATGGGGGAAACATAAAGAGGAAACGTGGATAGGAGGGGGAGGGCGGATAAGGGCTAGAGCGGCAGCAGGACGGGGTGAGCGCGACGGGGAACCCGCCCGAACTGCCGTGGAAAGTCCCCGCGAGTCGGACGGAGGGCAGGTGAATGCCAGCCGCGCTAGAGCAGCGATCTTCCAGCTCGGGAGACCGTTTCCACCTTCGCCGTCATCCTAAACCCTCTCATCCTCTTACTTGTCATTAGCATCCTCCTCTGAATAATACGTATCCTGCCCCTGCCCTTCCTCCGTCCCCGCCTCCCCGTGACCTTTTTCCTGATAGTGTCTCCTCCTACTGCATCGCCTCCTCCTACTGGTCCTGCACGCCTTTGTCCTTCTCTTTATGCTTCTCCTCACCTTCCTCATCATCGTCATCAGCAGCAGCACAAGCATCATCCTTGCCATCCGTTTCCTCCAGCCGTGTCGCTCTCCTCCTCCTCCTCCTCCTCCTCCTCCTCCTCCTCCTCCTCCTCTTCCTCCTCTTCTTCCTTCCGTAGCCATTTTGGCCCAAGTTGGTTTTCCTGTTCTAATCCAGAAGGCAGTCCATCTCAGTGGATCGCGTCCAACCGGGCCAACAAAGATGGAGCTGCGCGTCGGAGGCAAGTTCCGTCTGGGCCGCAAGATCGGTTTGAGGTCCTTCGGAGGTATCTACATCGGCACCAATGTGACGTCGGGCGAGGAGGTTGCAAACGCCGCCGCTGCCTCTGGCGCGAACTGGCGCCCGCGGCAGCGCTTGGAGAGGAGCGCGCGAGCCGTGGTGGAGGCGCTCGACTTCTACTGCGACCCGATCCCTCCAGCGCAAGCCTCTCTCTCTCTCAGGCATCGCCCACCGAAACGACGCCCCAGACAAAGCAGGGCAGTTGCGGGACGTCGCGCGCGCTTGCTTCCAAAAAGGTGCACTACAGGGCGCGGCTGCGGGAGGCAGTCCGGGGCGGCCGTGACGGCGCTGCCTTAGGCGCGCCCTTCTGCGAGGCATACCCAGACGCCGTGCTCGGCGACGGCTGGGCGGCGCTGACGGCCGAGGCGTTCGAGGCCGCGAATGTCGCCGCGCATATCGCCACCGACGACGAGCACGTCAAGCACATCCTCAACAAGCACGACGGCGAGGCGCGGCACTAGGGGGCTCGCTGGTGGACGCGGGTGCCTGATGACTTCGTTGACAGGCTCACATGCGCGCAGTTCTGGCACTGCCAGTTCGCGAAGGACAGCGACGCGCGTCGCTGGCTGCATTGGCGCCGCGAGAACCAGTGGGAGGGGGACCAGCGGATGGCGGAGATCAAGTGGATCTTGCAGGAAGAGGGTGGCGAGACCACACTTCTCAAGCGTGAGTTTGAGAACGTCGGGTGCGGCTCTGCCTCTGGCGAGCGCGAGGCGCGGTATATCAGGGGCGGTAACCAGGTCACGTTGGCGGAGCTTTTTAACTACGGGTGCCAGTTGTGTTCCTGCCACACCCTGTACACCCTGCACCTTCGACAGCCGATCTTTGCGTCGAAGAAGCGGCGCGCCGAATCCAAGAAGCCGGAAGCGATGCTGATGAGAAGCGCCCATCGCCTGCACCACCGCGGGACAGGCCAGCGGGGGGGGGCCGTGGGAACCATGGTGAAGGCGCGGCCTGGTGTAGAGGCCTCTGGCGGTGGCCCCGCTGGTGAACCTGCCCGCGGCGGTGGCCCCGCGGTCGCGCGCTGTTTTGGGCGGCCCCTTCCGCCCGCGCCAACGCGAGAGAGAAACACGCGCCGTCGTCATCGCCGACATCACCGTCTTCGCCATCAGCATCCACATCATCGGCAGCATCACACATCATCCTCATCCTCATCGACATCCAGCACAATCATCATCATCACCAGTATCGTCATCACCTCCATCATGATCATCATCCCCAGCGCCTTCACCACCAGCACAATCATCACCAGTGGACGGTCATGTTTACTTATTGGGCTGGGCCTGTTTAGTTTATATGTGTTCCTGTTTAGTTGTTGCGGGGTCCTGTTTACTGTTTGCGTGGTCCTGTTTGCTCTTTGGAGTGCTCATGTTTAGTATTTTGTTGCTGTGCTCCTGTTAATGTGTTGCGTGGTCCTGTTTACTTTTTTCGCGTGTTCCTGTTTAGTTTATCTGTGGTCATGCTTACTTGTTGCATGGTCATGGGGTTGTCCTGTTGCGTTTGTTTTTCCTGTGGGCCTGTTTCGTTTTCTCCTGGTACTGTTGATTGTTTTGCGTAGTCCTGTTTACTTTTTTGCGTAGTCCTGTTTAGTTTCTCTGTGGTCCTGTTTAGTTTCCCCGTGGTCCTGTTTACTTGTTGGGGTGGTCCTGCTTAGTTTCTCTGTGGTCCTGTTTAGTTTTCTCCTGGTCATGTTTTTTTTCCCGCGTGGTCCTGTTTACATTTTCGTGTCGTCCTCTTTCGTTTTTTTTTCTGTGGTCCTGTTTAGTGTTCTCCAGCTCCTGTTTACTTTCCGCGTGATCATGTTTATTTTCCGGGGCCCTGTTTAATTTCTCGGTGGTCCTGTTTAGTTGTCTCCTGGTCCTGTTTAGTTTTTGTGGTGGTCTTGTTTGGTTTCTCTGTGGTCCTGTTTAGTTTCCTCCTGGTCCTGTTTACTTTTTGGCGTGGTCCTGTTTACTTTTTGGGGTGGTCCTGTTTAGTTGCCCGTGGTCCGGTTTAGTTGTCTCCAGGTCTTGTTTAGTTTTTTCGTGGTCCTGTTTACTTTTTGGGGTGGTCCTGTTTAGTTTCTCTGTGGCCCTGTTTCGTTTTCTCATGGTCCTGTTTACTTTTCGCCAGGTCCTGTTTACTTTTTCGCGTGGTCCTGTCTAGTTTCTTCGTGGTCCTGTTTAGTTTTCTCCAGGTCCTTTTTTTTTTTCGCGTGGTCCTGTTTACTTTTCCGCGTGGTCCTGTTTAGTTTCTCTGTGGTCCTGTTTAGGGTTCTCCAGCTCCTGTTTACTTTCCGGGATGGTCCTGTTTAGTTTCTCCGTGGTCTTGTTTAGTGCTCTTCTGGTCCTGTTCACTTGTTGCCTTGTCCGGTTTACTGTTTGGGGTGGTCCTGTTTAGTTTCTCTGTGGTCCTGTTTAGTTTTCTCGCGTGGTCCTGTTTACTTTTCCAGGTGGTCCTGTTTAGTTTCTTTGTGGTCCTGTTTAGTTTTCTGTTGGTCCTGTTTATTGTTTGGGGTGGTCCTGTTTAGTTTCTCCGTGGTCCTGTTTAGTTTTCTCCTGGTCCTGTTTTCTTTTGGCGTGGTCCTGTTTACTTTTTGGGGTGGTCCTGTTTACTGTTCGTTGTGGTCCTGTTTAGTTTCTCTGTGGTCCTGTCCACTTGTTTGCGTGGTCCTTTTTATTTTTTGGGGCTGTCCTGTTCAGTTTTTCTGTGGCCCTGTTTAGTTTCCCCCTGGTCCGGTTTACTTTACGCGTGGTTCCGTTTACGTTTTCGTGTGGTCCTGTTTAGTCTCCCAGTGGTTTTGTTTAGTTTTCTCCTGGTCCTGTTTATTGTTCGCGTGGTCCTGTTTACTTTTCCGCGTGGTCCTGTTTAGTTTTTCAGTGGTCCTGTTTAGTTTTCTCTTAGTCTTGTTTACTTTTCGCGTGGTCCTGTTTACTTTTTCGTGTGGTCCTATGTCGTTTCTCTGTGGTCCTGTTTAGTTTTCTCCAGCTCCTGTTTACTTTCCGCGTGATCATGTTTACTTTTTGGGGTGGTTCTGTTTCGTTTCTCTCTTGTCCTGTTTAGTGTTGTCCTGGTCCTGTTCACTTGTTGCGTGGTCCTGTTTACTTTTTGGATTGGTCCTGTTTAGTTGTCTGTTGTCCTGTTTAGTTTTCTCCTGGTCGTGTTTAGTTGTTTCGTGGTCCTGTTAATTTGTTGGGATGGTCCTGTTTACTCTCTCTGTGGTCTGGTTTAGTCTTCTCCTTGTCCTTTATTTTTTCGCGTGGTTCTGTTTACTTTTTTCGTGTGGTCCTGTTTAGTTTCTCAGCTGTCCTGTTTAGTTTTCTCCTGGTCCTGCTTACTTTTCAAGTGGTCCTGTTTACGTTTCCGGGTGGTCCTGTTTAGTTTCTCTGTCGTCATGTTTAGTTTGTCTTTGGTCCTGTTTTTTTTGGGGGGTGGTCCTGTTTAGTGTTCTCCAGCTCCTGTTTAGTTGTTTCCTGGTCATGTTTATTTTTCGCGTGGTCCGGTTTACTTTTTCGTGTGTTCCTGTTTAGTTATTCTGTGGTCCGGTTCAGTTTTCTCGCGTGGTCCTCTTTATGTTTCCGGGTGATCCTGTTTAGTTTCTTTGTTGTCCTGTTTTGTTTGAAAGTGGTCCTGTTTATTTTTTGGGGTGGTCATGTTTTGTTTCTCTGTGGTCCTGTTTAGTTGTCTCCTGGTCCTGTTTACTTTTTGCGTGGTCTTGTTTACTTTTGAGGGTGGTCCTGTTTAGTTTCTCTGTGGTCCTTTTTAGTTTTGTCCTGGTCCTGTTTAGTTTTTTCGTGGTCCTGTTTACTTTTTAGGGTGGTCCTGTTTAGTTTCTCTGTGGTCATGTTTACTTGTTTATTTGGTCCTGTTTACTTTTTGCGTGGTCCTCTTTACCTTTTCGCGTGGTCCTATTTAGTTGTTCAGTGGTCCTGTTTACTTGTTGCGTGGTCGTCTTTTATTTCTGGGGTGGTTCTGTTTAGTTTCTCCGTGTTCCTGTTTAGTTGTCTTCTGGTCTTGTTTACTTGTTGCGTGGTCCTGTTTGCTTTTTGGGGTGGTCCTGTTTTGTATCTCTGTGGTCCTGTTTAGTGTTTTGCTAGGTTCTGTTTAGTTTTCGGTTCGTCTGTTTAGTCTCTTTGTTGTCCTGTTCCTTTTCCTCGCGGTCCTGTGTATGTTTTGCATGGTCCTGTTTAATTGTTTTGGTGGTCCTGTTCACTTGTCGGCGGCCATGTTTGATTTTGAATTAAAGGTGGAGGAAGGTTGGATGATGCAGGTCCGGGGAGGGGTTGGATAATAAGGATGGACATCCGAGGAAGAGGAGGAGCAGGAGGAGGAGGAGGAGGAGCATGAGGAGGAGGGGTTAGATGATGCAGGATGAGGGAGGGGGGAGTAGGGGGAGTATAAGGAGAATGGTGAGCAGCCAGAGAGGACGAGGGCGATGATCAGAACGAGGAGAAGGAAGACGATGACGATGGGGACGAGGACAAGGCATCAACATCACCACTATCACCACGGTCATCGTCATCGTTATCACTAGCATCATCAGCGTCAGCGTCATCATCATCAGGCCCAGGAAGGTAACATCATATTATCGCGGGCCCCTAATATGATGTTTGACCCCTTGGTGGCCCGGCCAGTCTTCTTCTTTGGTTGGAGAAGCACGCTTCCTGTACGACTGCTGGTACTGTTTGCACTCCCGCTTCACGTGATAGTAACGGCTCCTGGTGATGCGGCGGAGTGTTTTGCAACATATTCCTGATCCCTCGAGAAACGAACGGGAATCTTGGGGGAGGGAATTCGCATCCAAAGCACAAGTGGGGGGCTAACAAACGTATCGATCTGTTGCGCTTGGGAGGATTTTCGTGCTCTATTAGGTATGCCGATGGTTTGCAATAAGCCCCCCCCTGGCATCACTAATACAATACATGACGCTGCTGAGCCCAGAGCTTCAGTATTTCCCCGCGTCCGTTCCGCAAAGCCTATGGCGCATATGCCCATACACAATATTCGGTTTGAGCAACTTTCTGAGGCCGGCGGGCTGGGCTGGAGGACCAAGTAAATTGAGGCCGTTCATTCAGATTCGCCATACGCGCGTTCTTGTTTTTAGGCGGCTCCTCTTCCGGGGTGCCCTTCTGATATGAGTCTCGTACATTGTGGCGTTTTCTCAGACCATCTTGTCGTCAGTCGGAGTTGGGATGTTGTGTATCCTTGTCCAGAACAACCCGAGGCACTAGTTGGTCGGTGGTGCCAAAGAGTGCGAGACACCACGGACCGCGAGGGGCAAAGCGGAAGCATTTGGGAGCGACAAGGAGAAGAGAAAGGACAAGAGTGAAAAGCAGAAGGGAACGGTAGAACTAGGGGAGGGAAGAAGGGGAGGAGGGAAGGAGGAGGGATCAGGGAGATGGGAGATTGCGAGAGAGAGAGAGAGAGAGAGAGAGAAAAAAAAAAAAAAAAAAAAAAAAAAAAAGAGGGAGAGGTGGAGAGGGAGGGTGAGACGCTGAGGGACAGAGGCGAGGACTGGAATGGGGAAGAGACGCGGACGGGGAGAGGGATGGGGGCTGCCAGAGCAAGCCAAGCACATGCCCCTTATTTGTTAAGCCTGCCTCCACATCAACCTCCCGTAAAAGCATATACGCGTTCTTCCTCACAGATGCGAGAACCCCCCTGGAATGCTTCAGGTCGACGGGTGGGCCACAGGCGCAGAACTCGGGGCAGCTGGAGTGCTGTTGACAGGCACACGGCCACGTCACAAGATCGGGCCCTCAGAAAGGCTGAAAGCGCCAGAACCCCGTGGCCGTTCCACCGTCAAGTGGCCCTGAAGAATCTGGAATGGATCGTATGATGACCGCTCCGGTGCGAAACATGTGACCACAGCCTGTGGTTATATGTCAGGCGGTCGGGTCTGACTATTAGTATGTCGAACCTGCAGAATCAAGGGTACCCTGGTGTCCTTCCTATCACCTCTCGTGCCCTCCTCATGGGGGAACGGTGACGAGTGGGATGACGACGACGAAGCGGGGCGGGGGAGGAGCAGGAGGAGGGAAAGAAGGAGGGAGAGGGGTAAGGGAGAGGACGAAGAGGCAGAAACATAGGATTGAAGAATTGGAGGAGACGGAGGCGGAAGAGGAGGAGGAGGAGGAGGAGGGTGCATCGGCCGAATGAGCGGGTCGAGAGCGGGAGGTTCTAGCCAATGGCAGAACTTACACGGGCAGCTTCGTGGCCGGCCAGAAGCAGGGCGACGGCAGATACGAGTGGAAGGATCGCCATGAGTTTGTCGTTATGTGCAGGTGGAGATTGACGGCTTTGCGGTTACTGTAGGATTGTGTCGTCTGTGTCTCGGCCCAGCACCTCCCAAGCAGCCAGCAAGAGGACAAGATAAGCGCACTTGCATGAAACAACATCGGCTGAACGGCTAAATGCCGAACGTCTGTTGACAGTTGCCAGCCCGAGTGCCCTGGAGGGGTCTGGGCCATCTTGGCTGCCTCTTGTACTAGCAGGCCGCTCTGCGGTTGAACGGGAGTTTCTGTATGTAGAGGAAGGGACGTGCGCTTGTGCTCGACGACGATGGTGAGAATGAGCGGGCGGCGGTGGTGCGGCGGGTGAAGGTCGGGAGGGTGAGGATAAGGATTGTGAGGCTCACGAGCTGGAAGTCCCTGGAGGTCATCCGTCCTCCTCCTCCACGTTCTCGCTCTCTCCTCTTCCTCCTCCTCCTCCTCCTCCTCCTCCTCCTCCTCCTCCTCCTCCTCCTCCTCCTCCTCCTCCTCCTCTTTCCTCCCGCGTCCCTCCTCCCTCCTCCATCCTCCTGCGACTTCCTCCCTGCTCATCCTTTTCCTCCTAGTGCTTGCCCTCGTGCTAGTCCTCGTTTCCGTCCTCGCCCTCGCCCGGTGCGCCAGATGGGGACACACCCAGCGCGCCCAGCGCATCGCTGGAAATGGTCCTTGGGGGTGCGCTGGGGGCCCGTGGGGTAAGTTGGCGAAGTTGTCTCGAGCGAGAGCGCCAGATTGGGAGACGCCCGGCGCGCCCAACGCGCCCGGCGCATCGCCGGAAATGGTTCTTGGAGGTGCGCCAGGGGCCCGTGGAGCGGTTTTCCTGGGATGTTTCGGGCGAGTGCGCCAGATGGGGACACGCCCGGTGCGGGGCGCTCGGCGCATCGCCAGAAATGTTCCCTGCGCTGGTGGCCCGCGGGGCGATTTTGCGAGGATGTCTCGAGCGAGGGCGCCGGATCGGGACACGCCCGGCGCGCCCGGCGCATCGCCCAAAATGGCCCCTGGGGGTGCGCTGGGGGCTCGTGGGGCGATTTGGCGAGGATGTCTCGAGCGAGGGCGCGGGATCGGGACACGCCCAGCGCGTTTGGCCCGGCGCATCGCCAGAAATGGTCCCTGGGGGTGCGCTGGGAGGCAACTTTTTCGCGCGCTGGAGGTCAGGACGACGTGAGTTCCACAGAAACTCCTTCAAATGATTGGGCCATCCTGGGGACGGCTTGTTGAAAAGTTACGATTCGGACCGATCCCACTGGACCCTCATTTGCTCCCTTCCATGGCGGGAAAGAGTTTCGTGCGAAGGATGTGTTGCTATTCTCCCTCTTACAAGCCAAACAAACATACAAACAGACAGAAGCGCAATGTTGTTTGGCCTCCGTGATTGATAAGAGATAAGAGGGACACAAGCTGAAAACAGGGGAGGGGGCCGGACGAGCCTTGCGGAACATTGCGGCACGAACGGCCGGCGTGGGCTGAAGAATTTGCCCAGATCATGAAGAAGAATGCGTGGAATTTCGACCGTGTTTGGCGCGACCTCTCGGAGATAGAGCAGCAGCTGCAGAATGAAGAAGGAGGCTTTTGATTACAAGTCAGTGGGGAGCGAGGAGGGAGGAGGAGGAGGAGGAGGACCAGTGTAAACTCAAGACGCATCAACAGTGTTGCAATAAAAAGCCCTCCCTCCCAGCTCCCTCATCACAGGTCCCTACAAGAATGTATCTTCATTGCGGGAAGTGCTCCATTGGAAGACAACCTGTGAGAATCTTCAATTGTGCCGAACCACCGTTCTTGTGACTCCACCGCCGCGAGTCAACGTGTCCGTTGCATGATGACAAGCTTCAACCGTGCCAGAACACGTTCAACTCAGCGAATCAGAGTAACAGCTGCGTCCCGACAGTCCTAAATCGTGCCAGAACATAGTTTCTGGGACTTCAACACCGCGAATCAACGTGACTATTGCGTCCTGGCGCTCCTAATCTTGACAACTACTGGGATCCTTGAAACCGTTGTAGACGTTAAAATCGAGTGTCCGCGGCGTTGAGGCGAGAGCCACATCTTAAAAACGGCCCGCCTTCCAGCCGCAAAGCTGGTGGAAACTGTCAAAACGATGGTGCGATACGCTGAGGCGGGAGCCACATGTTTAGAACCACCCGCCTTCCATCTTTGAAATTGCTGCAAGCGTTTAAGACGAACGTGCGCGGCGCAAAGGCGAGAACCACGTGTTGAAAACTGCCCGCTGTCCATCCCTAAAAGTGTTCCAAGCGAGTGTGAATGACGCGTGTGCGCGGCGCTAAAGCGAGAGCTACGTTTTGAAAACCACCCGCCCTCCATCCGTGAAGTTTTTGCGAATGTCAAGTTGCAGCAGCAGAAGTGCACAACGCCCGGCCCGCCATACCGACAAGCCTGGGAGTGCGACAGGAAGAAGTTGTTTCGAAGGAAACGCGGGGGAAAGGGAGGAGGATGAGGAGGATAATGCAACAGCCATGATGCTCATGCATGGCCAACGTAGAAAGGAGGAGGAAGGACGGGGAGGAGGGACGGGGAGGAGGAGGAGCAGGAGAGAGTGAAGGAGGGAGGCGCGAAGCGTAAAGTCGGGCGGAGTCGGAGGGGCCAGCGGAGCCCGAAGCGGCCCAGGGTCGCACGGAGTCGGCGGCGTCAGCGGCTCGTCCTCCGTCTCGTTGCTTGCCGTCGCGCCTCAGTCTGGTGAGTTGTCGATTGCGCCCTAGGGATTTGCCACTGCTTAGCCGTCGAGCAGTGCACTGCGCAGAGTGTCGGCACTGAGGTGCCTCACAGGGTAATACATAGGTAGTCCTCGCTCTGTTGTCATCTACCACCTCCTTCCGCTCCGCCACCTCCCCCTCTTTCTCCCCGGGTCCCCTTGCCTCCCTTCTCTCCCTTCTTCCCCTCATCCTCCTGCCTTCCTGCTGCTCCTCATCCTCCTCATCCTCGTCTTCTCGCCTTCGTACGGCGCAACGCATCACTACGTCATGGCCAGATCCCTAGAATCCCTCCTTGAACGGCGCAAGGGAATTGCAATGTAGGCGTGCGTCATGTGAGATGTGGGTGTTTCTCACGCTTCTCGGCCCCTTGTCGTGCACTGCGGAGCCTCCAAATTGAGTGCCAGCTGGTGGTAAGTCACAGCGAACTTGTGACAGGAGCGTGTGGCGTCGACGCGGCGGCGACGCCTGCTCGTTTGCTCAATGTTCCACGCCCTCCGTTGGACCACCCGAGGGGCCCCGTGGCCCACAAAGAGTAGCCCGCAGCTGCGAGGCCCGCACGAAACAAGAGGTCGGGCGGCCTCTGAGGACCTCCGAGGTCAGAAATCGTTCGATCCTGAACAGCTCACGCGACGTCAGGAACCAGTTGCACGCAGGAGTGCCCTTTCGACGGAGTGACCGTTGGTGCGCGGATTTCGCGGCAAGACAGCCGCGCTTCAGGAAGTTGGTCTCGCATGACGCAGCCAGCCTGGGCGAGAGCTGGCCGCACTCGCTTATCAACCTCGGCGACATGGGACATGAAGTGGCGGGCAGCGACAGCCCAGACGCGGCAGAGCTATGTGCGCACCAAACCTAATGAGAGTTGCACGTGGCTGGCCACATGTCTTTCCCGCGCTCGACCCTGCTACGGCCCCGCACGCCATGCCCCCCCGTCAGCCCCCCCCCCGCATGTGTATCCAGCGCGCGGCGGCGTCCAGATGCCCCACATATGAATACTGCCGCAGTCGGTTGCGATCGGCTGGTTCGGTTCGGTTCACTCGGTTGTTGTGTCGCTGTTGCGTCGCTGCGCCTCTTCTAGATTGCTGTTCGGTTTAGGTCGGTTTCGGCTTCGTTGTCGGTTCGGTCGGTGTTCGGTTGTATTGTCGTTGTGTACGGCCGTGGGGTATTTGGAAACAGTCCCGGGCACCATAATGTTTCTAGGTGCGGGTGCCGAACGGTCTTACACTGTTCTGGGGTGCGTGGCTGGAGTGCGGATCCGCGTTTCAGGGCGTGTTCTTCATCTTTTTGCTGCCAGCCGCGACACGCCCTGCGACCCTCCCGCGACCCACCCGCTACTCACCCGTGACTCGCCTTGCGATCCACCCCCGACCCGCCCCGCGACTCACCCGCGATCCGCCCCGCGATTTGCCCACCTGCTGGCCGACCCCCCTACATGGTTTTGAAACACGTCTGCGCCGATGGCGGGCTTCTTCACATTTGATTTCGAGCCTTGCGAATTGCCGACGATCCCACGGCCCTTTCCTTTTTGATCGCGACTGCGGTGGTCCTGGTATAAGTTGTACCTGAATGCTTATTGCCCCATCTGCTAGCCAGCCATCCTCCTCGTCCTCATTCTATGTGCTTCGGGAGGACGGCTCTGTCTACGATGGCCAGTTCCAAGACAACTACATGCATGGCCAAGGCGGCATTGGGGCATCAGGGCGGCGTTCGCGTCACCGATGGAATGCGCAGCCTGCTCTGGCGCAAATGGGGCCGCCCAGGCTATTCAGCTGTCCGCAGCAGACCTCGCCACCGTGCCGGCGCTGCGTCGAGGGAACTTCAGGATCGTTCAACATTGGGCCCACCATTGCGCCACGATGGGCTCCACAAAGTTGGGCCCTGTCCCTCTCTGGCTCTGCGGGCCCTGGACGGGACCCCACGACGCGCTTGGGTCTGTATCGGGCGGCGATGGTTATGCCTGGCCCTCCTCGATAAGAGGCTCGGCGGAACCGTTTCGAGGTCAACTGGACGAATGCTGGTTATTGTGGGCGTCCTGGCTAGCAGCCTATGTTGTGCAATCTCTGTGGGGCAACCCATGCGATGCAGCCTACGTGGTGCAATCGACGTTGTTCAATATATCTTGTGCAAGCTATGTTATGAAATATGTGTGGAGGAAAACTATGTGGTGCAATCTATTATGTGCAATCTACGTGGTGCAATTTACGTTGCGCAATACATGTTGTGCAATATACGTGGTGCAATATATGTGGCGCAACCTACGTGGTGCGCAGTATGTGTGGCGCATGTGCGCTGCGCAATCAATGTATGCAATCTGCGTGGTGCAATCTATGTAGACCATCTGTGCGGTGCACGCTACTTGGTGAAATTCATCTTCCGAACTTGAAATTGTCAACCCCACGGCTCGCGCAATCATCCCATTCACCCACCCGCAACTTGGCTTGCAAAACCCAAGCGGCGGCAATCGCAATGGCTGCTTGGCGCTGGCTGGCGCGTCGCTGCAGCCGCACTTGCCCGCGCACGCTCGCGCGATGTGCGGCCAGCTAGTCTGGCGCGACCGACGCGGCCGCGATGGCGCTGACCATTGGGCACATCCCAGCACATCGCGCAGGCCGCGCTGACGCGCGGGCGAGTCGGTGATTCGAGCGAGAGGTGTCCAGAGTCATGAGAACATTCCACAACACACGTTTTCGACATAAAGTTAAAACTTACATATATATATATATATATATACACATATATATTTATATATGTGTACGTGTATATATATATATATATATACATCTATACACACATATAAACAAAGCACAATGGCTTTTCAACATACCCATTAAATGATGGGTCTCTCTCGCGCGCGCGTCGAAACCGTTCGAAAAAATGCGCGAGGGCAATCGCAAGAACCCTTGGCAACAAATTATACAATGTGCACGATGGCGCGTCGTCGCGCGCCAGCGTGCCGAAAACCTTCCAAAACCATCAGTGTCGCGAGGGTTTCAAAAACGAGTGCCCCGAAAACATATCAAGGCACCATGCTTTACAACATCAGTTTTCAAACAGATCCTGCGCTCGCTGCCGGTCCCCCAGTAAACTATAGGTTTTCCAACTTGTTCATCAAATTCTGCCAGATGGGCCTCTCGCGTCGCATATCGAATTGATTCAAACGCCTTTGAGACCGTGCTAGGGGGGGGGGGGGGGGGGCACGATCCGCGCCACATGACACCACGCGGGCCACTCGCGCTCGCTGGCCGCGCGCGCACGTCGAGCACCTTCAAAAACCTTCATCGCCGACGCGAGGACATCGTCATCGTATTCGGAGGGCGCGTTCAACATCGGCTCCGTCATTGGCCTCGCCGCCATCATCGCCACCATCATCGCAATTTTCATAATCGCGCCCACCGACGTCGGCGCCGCCGTGATACCGCGCCCGCCCGAGCCACCGACGCGCACTGAAGCGCCCTCTGGGAAGTGCCCAGCGGTCAGCTCCACCGCGGCCGCGTCGGTCGCGCCAGACTAGCCGGCCGCTGCGCGCGCGAGCATGCGCGGGCTAGCGCGGCCGCAGAGATGCACCAGCCAACGCCAAGCACTCGTCGCAATCGCCGCCGCATGGGTTTGGCAAGCCAAGTTGCGGGTGGGCGGGCG